AAGGCAAGTTTTCTATATGGGTGCCACATAATTAGCTTATTCTGCAAGCTACTAATATATGTGGCACACGGTTAGTTTGTTGACCAAGTTTCAAACCTACTAATTAACTACAAACACATGTAAAGTCAAAACAACACCTAAAAAGCTGCTAGGAAGCTTTTTTAGAAGGTATTATGAAATTAATCTACTTTTATCTAATTCTATCTATTTATATTACCTAAGTAATAATTACAATAGATATATATATCCGAAATATATATATATATATATATATATATATATATATCTTACAGATATGTTTGTAATGTTATGTAATGTGAAAACTAACTTAAGAATATATTAGGCATCTTATTGAGGAGAATAAATAATATTTTTAATAAAAAAGAACCTAATTTTTTTATAAAATTCTAAAAAAAATTTAATTAAATTTCAATAATTATAATTAAACCTTAATCAAATCTTGAAAGATTTTTTAAAAAATTCTTAAAGAATTATTAAATGATTCATAAAAAATATCAAAGAATTCCTAAAAAATATTAAAATAAATCCTTAAAAAAATCTACAAAATTCAAAAAGAAATTATAAAGAAATATTTTTAAATAAATCCTAAAGTTTTTTTTTTAAAAAAAAAAAATCTTAAACCATTCCTAAGTAAATTCAAAGTATATCCTAATCAAATTTTCAGCAAATCCTACTCAAATACTAAAAATATTCTAATAATTATAATAAATTCTTTAAAAAATCTTTAAAAAATTCTAAATAAATTTTGAAGATATCTTGTAAATTCTGATGAAATACTATCCAAAATCTAACCAATCTTAACTAATTATAATCAACCTTAGGATAGTCTTAAAACTTCAATAACTATTGATTAAACTATTGATCTTATTTTAAATTTTGTACATATTGTAATATTATAGTTAACAACAAGTATAATAGTTTGAAAAAGAATCCAACTTATCAATTAGAAAAAAAGATCTTAATTTCTTGGTTATTGGCCATCTTCTTTCACTAATGTTAATGTTGATCTTTGAGTAGTAATAATTCCTTATTGAACTATTTATGTGTACTAAAATTTAGCAAAATTATTAAAAACTAAGTTTAAAATCAGCTTAAAAGATTTTACTTCAATCTAATTGGCAAATTATCTAAGCCCAAAGAAACCTTTATTGATCTTTAAAATTCGAATTCTAAGATCTTAACTTAATTGGATTTTAATAACCTTCGATCTAACAATTGGATTGAATTTAAATTTATAAAATTAAGATTATAAATTTATACATATTAATATATTAGAATGCTTAAAAATATTTCAAACATATAATTTTCTTTTATTTCACAAAAATCCAAACTATTTAAAACACCTTTCATCTTGAAAAACTCTTAAAATTTTAATATTAATTCAAACCACTCAAAATTAATATTCAATCAAATTCTATCAAATTTATTTTTTAACCTCACTTTCTAATCAATAAAAGAACCTTGGGTTTATTATAGACGCACAATTTTAAGTCTCAAGGTTTTATTTTGACCCATGTTCATAACAAGTCCTTTCTAGGTATCAATATCTAGTTTTTTAAGATAAATTTTACTAAAAGCTACTATTTTTTTCTACATTAAGATTCATATGATACTAATTTTGCTAATTTATCTTTATTTTTGTTTGTTTATGGCCTTATAAAGTAAATAGAAGTTCATTTTATAAAAAAGAGTCATTAGCTCTTATAAGTTTTATTACCTCCTTGACTATTATCTAAATTTTTAAAACAATTTATTACTATATTTTAAAATAAGATCTTCTAAAATGTAATGTTATTTTATTTCATTTTATTTTTCTCCCTCTTTCTTCCATTAACTCTATTATAACACAACAACAAACAATTATTGTTGATATAACTGTATAAATTATTCTATATTTAATAAATCAATCAAAATTCTTATTTTATATAAAACATATATTATACTAATTAGAAATTTATACTATTTAATTCAACACACTTATTATAGATAAAAATATACTTATTATCTATTGCTTTGTATTCATCACATTTTCTAAAGATCTTAATGATGGTAACTTAAAATGATATTTTTAAGGCTAAATTTAACCTTGACCTATCTAATAAAGGTTGTTTAAGAAGTTAATGTATTAACATCTTTTTTTTGAAAATTTTTACTTGTTTCATATTCATGAAATAAGGTATTGATTTAAAGGATCTATCAAATTTTCAAAGCTTATGTGGAATAAGTAAGATAAGAAAATGGATGACATTGTTTATTTACAATCATTACTATATTAAACCGTAGAATGCAAACTCATTCCATTACTTCATAGAGGTATTATTACATGCAATTTTAAGATATTTAAACAAAATTTTATTGCAACTATAAAAAACTTGTATAAAAGATTTTCTATTTTTTAAATAAAAATTATAATAAGATATTAATTAAAATATAAATATTTAAGATATTTAAAACAAATATATATATATATATATATATATATATATATATAGTTGAAGTAATTTTAGCTTTACAAGATTCTAAAATTCTAAAAACTTTATGAAATTAAATTAAAAGAATAAAAGATTAATAAATAGATATATTTATATATAATATAAAATATTTTTTTTATTGAAAAACTTGATATTTTACTTTTTAATTTAAAAAAATTATTTTGAATAGAATTTTAAGACAAAAGATAATAGACTTATCTTTTTAAAAATTATTCTATATACCATCTAGACTATTTTATATAAATGAACCTCAATATCCTTATGAAATTTTTTAAGTATTAACTTTTTGTTTTAATGAAATAAAGAGGATTGATAAATTTAAACATTTAAAATTTAATTTTTTTCATTACTAAAGAACTTTACATCCTTGTAATTTGAAGAAATTGACATTTATTCAACTTGCTAATACTTTATAACCAAGTGCATTGTAAATTTAAGAGTTAAAATACTATGTCATAAAGTGTTTCAAAATATGATACTATAAAAGTTTTAAAGAATTACAAAATTTTGATTCTAATAAATATAATTTTTTTAATAGATAATATATAGATAATATTTTATATTTAATTTAAAATGGGTTATATAAAGTATTGTGAGATACTTCTGTTTTAAATAAATAATAAAAATCTAAAACACCAAAATCATATTTTAGTGCATACAAGTCTTTAAGTTTTCATTGTTTTAAAGTCTTTAAATCTTTTTGTGATCTTGATTTAATTTAAACAATTGTATGTCTACATGCTTCACACTTTTTTTTTTTTCTTCTTTAAATAAATAGTATTTGATATATCTATTATAATACTTAAATTTTAATCAATATTTACACACACACACATATATATATATATATATATATAATTAATCATATTTTAAATCAAATAAATTAATTTTATTATGAGGGTTATCCTATTGTGGTTTCTCTTTTAACAAAATTTAATATTAGTTGAATATAAACACATTTATGCTTTTACATGTACAATTACAAAATAAAAAATAGAGAATAGAAAATGAATTGCTTTCTATAAGATTTCTTTCCTTATCTGATTTTGACTTGTTATCCTGCATTTTCCATCTTTATTTATTTATTTATTAACAAAAATTATAATATACAAAAGGTGAAGATATTTCCAAAATAATAACTAGTATTTGCAAAGCTTTAGTGAAAAAAAAATATCAAATCAAATACTCTATACTCTTGTGATTCTGAAATACTAAAATTTAAGGGAAAGAAATTTTAAATTTTAAAAATAAAAATTCAAAAAAATTTGTATCACATAATTTCTTGATTGTGCATTGAAGCAAAACAAATAACAATGTCATTGACATTGATGCAAATCTTAGAAGACAGTGAAGACTCCACTCACCCCAATCAAGCTCACGTTATAAAACACATACCTAAAAAATAAAATAAAATAAAAAAAGTAAAAAAATAAATAAAAATAATATACACCCAAGTTACGTTGCATTCATTTGCAAGTCAAAAAAAGGAAATACATAGAGAGAGAGAGAGAGAGAGAGAGAGAGAGAGAAGAGGAAAAAAAAAAAAAAAAAAAAAAAAAAAGTCTAAAATTTCTTCTAAAGTTGTAGAATGGGAACATCTATCGAATCCAGTAAAGGTAACAATAATTATTATTTCAGTGCAAAAATGCTATTTTTTTAAAAGTAATCCAGTCAATGCAAGCTATGAAGGAAATACACAAGGCAGATACAATAATCGGATCCCTGCGATTTTTATTCACTAATCTAATTGGCCAGTCAACACACACACCCAGCAACGGAGTTGGAAATCTACCCAAATTTAAAAGTCCACACAAAAAAGCTACGACTTCAGAAGAATATTTCTTGTGGTTTTCAAGGACAGCAATGGGACATTTCACATTGAAAGGCACTTTTTGTTGAAAATATCTAGAAGATCTGGCCCCACTGTTGCAACATGTCTCACCGACCCTTCGCAGCAGCGACAGTTCGAGAGTCACGGTAAAGTCTTAATTAGGGTTGAAAATCACAAGCAAAAGCCTTGATTTGCATTCTCTGATGTGTGACTAAAACAGTGTGTTTATTGATAATATGATGGGAGTGAGAAGTTAACTGATTGGACATGCTGCAGTGTACTACGAGCGTGTGGTGTGACATTCAAGTTGGGATTCCGTGTGTCAATTACTCAACCCTTTTTATATGCACGAGAAGAAAGTTGTGTAGAAAGTGGGTACTCCCTGGCAATGTGGAAATCAGTGTTCAAGGATAGTTCCTTTTCAGCATGCGCGACAAATTTGCACACTGATGATGAATGTTTGACGTGAGTCTCGGTGCCCGTGACGTTTCCTTCCGCTATTTTTACGCTCGATCCATGGCGAAGTGGGGTTTTCACCGCGATGCTTGACAGGAAAATGGCATTCATTTTCTCAGCCACTGGGTTTGAAAGTGTAATTATGGCATTGCATCACAGTCCGGAGCAATTTGGGTAGCATCAACGTCAGTGTCTAGGAGAGGATTGAAAATATGAACAAATAAATTGAATTTTTACAAGCAACAGAAACATTCGAAACGAAAAGTTTCACCATCGGAGTGGTGAAGAATGTTTCGGTTTAGGGGATGAATCGTACTGATGAACGTATAGCGACTGAAGCATCAGAAACACTATGGTCTCTGAAACGACTTCAAAGGTTGTGCAACTGCGAAAAAGATATTAACCCTAATTACGGATGCGGAGAGAATCACAAATTAATTCTAGTTGATGAGGTGCCGCAATCACCAACAGTTATGTGTACATAACATATTATGTGCCGGAGATTTTATTGTATTCACTGCATCTCCAATAAATGAGGCCTTCGAATTTGATAACAAGCAGCAACACAACATCGCCTCGTTCGTCGATGTCCACACCAAACACAAAGCATTCTGAAATGGATCCAGTCAAGGCAGATAATGTTGTTTCGAAAATCCTTAAAGCTGATGTGGTGTGAATTCCTAAACTAGAATCACACAACCAACGATGAATGCAGCCGCAACAAGCCCAGCCATGGGTAAAGAAGAAGACAGACTTGCACCACTTGGGGGTGGAGGTGTCGGAGAAATTGGGGCGTTAGAGGGGGCAGGCGGCGATCCAACCGCGGAGGCTGTGGTAACGGCGAGCTTCATACCTCCCGCTGCCGTGCTGCAATGGGTGAGAAACGAACAGACGTAATAGAAAGTGCCCGCTGATGTTAACGTAATTCTATCAGAGCCTGTCGTCCATATGTTCACGGTCGTCCCATTACAACGGTCGAACTTCGCTTTGGTGTCGTATTGCGCAACGTCGTGACTACCAGCTGCATAATTGAACACTGCATTCATAGGACCAGTCGCGCAGGATGATTAGTTGGAAAATCCCATTACTTCAACACTGCAGCATCTACTTTTACCACAATCTCGCAGAATTGTAACGCACCATTACCCTTAGTGGACGATTCAAGTGAAGTTCTCACCCAAAACATCACCAACGTTGAAGGTGGAGTTGTCAGCCCATTTTTGATAGTAGGATTTGTCAGTCTGCGGCGCAAAATCCCACTGTCTTGTACCGCCCACGACGTGATCGACCGCCTCGGCTACAGAGACTATGGCGACCAGTGTCGAGGCTAAGACGATCGCAATCGAAGCGGAATGGATTTCACTGCCTCTTCCCTTGCATCCCACCATTTTAGACTCCAAGCACGTTCTCTCGTTGTCTGTTTTTCCGTGCGATGCACATATCACGGTACCTTAATCAGGTGAGCAGGCTTGCACCACCTGCTTTATAGTCCGACTGTAACATTCACGTTATCAAAAAGTTTAGCTCATGAAATTCGACCCCAGCTGCTCAAGCACAATAGATCACGGTCACAACCTGCAGCTTTCCGCCAGCGCTGCCCCGAAGCTCCTCAAGCGTACAGAACGAAAACATGAACAAGGAAAACCGGGTAGAAAGCGCAAGTCAACCCAAACTGATTCACATATATTTTAGGAAAACAATTGAACTCTAAACCAGTTTTTCTCTTCTTTATTTTGACTGTTTTTTTTCGTGTGCAGCAGAAGTCGAGGAAACAACCAAACCGAAACAGTTGGCCACATATTTGCTTACGAAAACAAAGGATCCCCGATTCTACCCGATCTTCTGCCGTTCGCATACAGCAACAATCAGATTGCGCAAAGTCGATGCGGACAGCAGCTACAAAGAGGTGAATGATTCAAGCTCTTGCAACCAGCTACGGCGAATCTTTCACACAATAGCGCGTCCCCTGTCCTTTTTTCAAAACATTTTCATCCCCTACCAACGTCGTTCCCCTACCAACGTCGTGAAACCTGTGTGCGGACGAATTGCACTAGTTTGTGTCTACCTTATCAGAGAAGTGATTGGAATCAGCACAGCACAGCTTTCTGTAGATCTACGACCCCGGTCCGGTGAGCTGAACGACCCCAGAAGATTGCTATGTGACTGCCGAAGTGACCAACATGAACAGACACCAGCTGCACGCTCCTCGCAAGATACTGCGAAGGCGATAGGCATGATGAAGCAGCAGGTCGGAGATATCAACGCCATTGTCTCCATTGACTGAGCTCAACCACGACCAAGGAGGGCTCCACTCAACTACTCTTGACTGGTTGGCTTTTTCTCTGCGACGCGTACCACTCCGGTGGGCCTGGGCATCACCGCCTTCCACAATCCCACTTGATATGATCGCGGTGTTATCGCGCAAAAAACCAGGTGGGTTCATTTCAATCTGCCCGAGCAGTTAGGAATCTGCCTCGTGAAATACTGGCAGAGCCCGATTCTTTCATCGTCTCCGACTTCACTCACAAGTCGGTTACGTCGATTTAGCTGGGGCTGGAACTTGAAATCTGGAGTGTGAAGTGCGAAACTAGTATGTGGGTTTTGCTTTAAGGCCTCGATTGCACTGTTTAGGGATATAATCCCTCATCAATACCTGGCCTCGAGGCCTCCCAACTCAATCGACGGGCTGGGGCGATCTGGGCCCAAGATCACTTGTGAACCATAGGTGCGTTGGGGAACAAGAAGTGGGAACGACGGAAGGGAACAAGGAAGGGGTGTGAGCGGGCAGCCTGTTGGGCAGCGGGGCAACTAAAAATATATATTTTTTTTTAATGAAAGAGAACTCTGTTACCAACTCGAATACCAAATGATTGATTAGAAGTAGAAAATAACATATTTTATTCTTTCTGATAATTCCGTAAATTCATGCTTTGAGCGCTCTAAAAAATATTATATATACATATATATATATATATTTATTGTTCTCATATACCACATGCGATCTCTGCATTGTCACAACTATACACTCCAAACCAATCCTGTCTGATTTCAATTCTTACAGTTTTATCTAACAAGCGAGTTTTACCTACCAAACAATCATAGAATCTACCAATTAGCAACAGAAGTACTCCCTCCAACCTACTTGCCTTTTTGATTCTTCTATGTTCCTTCCTTCTGTTTTTAGACCTTAGATTAGCAACTAAGATTGAATCTAAGGACCGTTCCAATGCAATGGTGTTGTGTTATGTGAAATCTAATTTGGAAATTCATTGAGCATCTAGTTGTAAAAGGTAAAATTTTATTAAAATTTTAAACAAACTTTAATTGAACCTTAAAAATTATAATCAAACTTTAATCAAATTCTGTATAATCATAAAGAAATCATAAAAAAAATTAAAAGAAATCTTAACAAAACCTTAAAGAATTTATAAAGCAATCATAAAGAAATTCTTCAAAAGAAACTCTAAAGAAGCCAGAAAGAAATCCTACAATTATGTTAAAAAAAATTACAAGAATTTTAAATAAATTTTAATAAAATCCTAAATAAACTTTAAAAAAGTTTAATAACCTTAAATAAACTCTAACAATCTCAAACAAAATTCTAAAGCTATTTTATAAATCTTACTAAAATCCTATTTTTCTTTTGTCTAAATAATTGGACTTATTTATTTTTTATATATATCTTCAATTTTTTTCTATCAAGTTTTAATGACAAATACGTACCATTATTATAGACTTTATTCATAATATATGGTCCAAACTAATAATTAAGAAGTTTTTTGTAATATATTATGTTAGTTATTTAAACTATTATCATAGATTAAGATCCATTCATCTTTTTTAATTCATGATTTTTATAAAATCTTTCTTTATTATTATTTTTTTCAACCTCTCAATTGATGTTTCAATATTATCAAGTCTTTTGATAAAGTCTTAAAAAAACTTTAAGTAATATTTAATAATTCTAATCAAATTTTAATCAAACTAAAATAAATTTAAAAGAGGTTACAAACAAAACACAAAGAATTCTTAAATCAATTTCAAATAAAAATAAAAAAATCTTAGAGAAATATAAAAATAATTTTAAAGAAATATTAGAAATAATTTTTTTTAAAGAAATAATAAATCCTTAAAAAATATTAAAAATAAAAATTCTAAATAAATCTGAAATAAATCCTAGATCAAATCTTAATAAAAATTTTAATTGAATCCTATTAAAACTTAATAAAATCTTAGGTCAAGCCCTAATAAAATCCTAGATCTTAGCCCAATCTTAATAAAATCCTTTTAAAATCTGAATGAAATTTTAGACAAATCTTTATCAAATCTTAATCAAATCTAAATAAAATCCTAAATTTTTACCAAATTCTAGGTAAATCCTAAATCTTAATCAAATTTTAAATAAATTTTAATCAAATCTTAGATTCTAAATCAATCCTACTCAATCTATAATCAAATTCTAAATCTTAAATAAAATTCTTAATAATTCTATAGTAAATTAAAAACTCAATAACTAATGATTAAACTATTGATATTGATTCAAACTTTTCAAATCTTGAAATAATTGAGTAAACAAAAAGTACAAAAAAATTAAAGAAGATTGCACATACCAATAGCAAGAAAAGCTCCCTAAACCTCTTAGTTATTAGTTGCTTTCTTTCTCTGACTTAAACATTGATCTTTCAATATAAATTTCTCCTTGCTAAATTATTCAATTGTACTATAATTTTGATTGTATGTAGGTATTTTAATCTAAGTTGCTCTCACTAATTTATGCTTCAATCAAACTAGCAAATATTTCCAAAACAAAAAATCCTTCATTAGCCCTTAATCTCAATTATCCAAGACCGTAATACACAAAAACCTTCATATACTTCAATCTAACCACTTAATTGAATTCAAAATTTTTATACATATTTATAACTAATATATCAATAAATTATCTAATTTCACCTATAAATATTCTACAAAATTTACAAAATCTTGAAATTTATAATTTTTTTTATTTCTCAAAATCCAAATTCATTGAGTAAATTATTAATTTTGAAAATCCTTTAAAATCTCAATATTAATCCAAATGACATGAAATTATTATTTAAAAAAAATTCTTCAAGTTTTCTCTCAAATTCCACTCTTTAATTTACAAAAGAACTCTAAAGTTGTCATAGGTGCACAATTTTATGCCTCAAGGTTTGATTTCAATTGAGGTTGACAATTGGTCCTCTCTAGATATTAATATTTAATAAGTTAAGAAATTTTTTTCTTTAACCTGTTATTAACTCTTTTTTTAACATATCTATATCAATTTCTTATTTTATTTACTTTGATTTGGTTCATTTATGTCTCTATAAAATTAATAGAAGTCCCTTCTACAAAAGATAGTATTAAGACTAAATTTTTTAATACCTTTCTATAATTTATCATTATTTTTTCACTACATCTTTCTACTAATATCTTCTATAATAACATCTATATTTTTTATTTTTCACCATATAGTCATATTATCACATAACATTCACCTCTTTGAATCTATCCATCTTTTAGTATGTATTAAATAATTCAAATCTTATTTGATTCATATTATGTTCTTTACATCTTGATCTAATTTTTTTTATCATTTTTGCTATCCGAATCAAAATTATCTTCTTACTTTAAAATATTTATGTCTTTAATAAAGAAATCTATATTTATTTTGATTTGTCTTTATTTGAATACCTTCACTAAATTTCTTCCAATTAGTAATTTTAATCCTATTCCCTCTAGCTCTCATAATAGACAAGATACATTATTATGAAAAATTATTACTATATATGGTCTAAACTATCATTTTAAAAAACTTCTTTAAAGTACTATGTTGATTGTTCAAGCTACTATCATAGATTAAAATCCAATCACATCTTTCAATTATTTTAGGTCTAAATTAATGTTTCTTATCAAATTTTGCCTTACTTTATAAGCTTGTCTTTTTTAATCTTTTTAATATTATTTTCACATCTTTTGATCTTTCTTCAAGTTGTTGAATTTTAATAGCTAAAATTTCTTTTTTTGTCTATTCATCTTCCCATGGTAATATTGCAAGTAAGTAATTTCTCTTTAATTGGCATAATAGGTTTTCGACTTGTCATAAGTTCAATAGACATATATTCTATTATAAAATTATGAATTGTTTGATCATTCCATAATGCAAATGAAAAAATTTAAGGCCCTTTTTTAACCTTTCCATTATAAGCTTTAACTAATGCTTTTACAATTGGTAGATGACCATGTTTATTTTTCGTATTTCTTTAGAAATTACAAGAAATAGTCAATGATAACTCAATTCTACATCTTTTAAAAAAATCATAAGCTTCTTGTGCATTTAATTCTCCATGATCTACAATTATTTTTTTTTATACATCCATAGCAACAAATAACATCTTTAAGTAAAAATCTATAAATTCTTTTTGTAAAGTTTATTTTCAATGCTCTATCTTCTCTTTAATTTGATAAATTTTCATGAGTTAAGACCAAATATCTCATTTTTCATAATTCAATTAACATAACAACCAAATCAACAACCCATTTAAAATGAATAATCTAAGAATATGTTGAATGTAAACCATCTTAATGTCATATATTAGAATATGCTTGAAAAGTTTTATAAAATTCTACAAATAAAAGCATATCTTGATATATATTTTTTTTACTAATATTATTCTTTGAGTTTAGTAAAAGTAGTCCAAATTCCTCTATGTCTTATCCATAAACTATCATGAAATCATTTTAGTAGTTTTTCTTGCTCTTCTATATTACCTATCACTCGTTGTGGCATTCCAATCCCTTTCTTTGGTCTCTTTTATAAAAATTCTTTTTAAAGCAAAAATCCATATTTTTTTATTTTATTTTATTTTATTCAATTCTTTTTATAAATAAATTTTCTTATTTAATCATAGCATTCAAATAATAACCAATAGCCATTAATTTTCTTCCATATAAACTTTTCAAAAAATAACTTATTTTCCTTGCTAAGATTTGATACTAAATTTTTTTTTTATCTTACATCATTAATGTCTTCAAGAATCTTATCTTCTCTTTCATATCATGCTTGAGGCAATATGTCCACCACCAAATTTTCCTTTCTTAAAACATACCTAAATTCTAGATTTAATGATTTGATATAAGTAATCTATCTTAGTATTACAAAATTTGGTGTTGAATAATTAATAATTATTCTAAGCAATTACAAGTAATTTCTTTCAATTACTATCATTGTAGCAATGAAATAATTTTTTTCAGCTTTCATAGCTAAAAGAACTTCCCATAATTCTCTTTTGACGTACAAATATGTATGTTGCAAGTACTTAAAAGTTTAGTTCCAAATCAAACTACAAATTTGTTTTCACTTGAATCATCTTTATCCATAACTCATCCAATAGAAATAAGACTAGTATCTATAGTAAGTATTATTAGTCTATTATATTCATAATAAATTCTTTTTAAAATTAGAGGTATCAAAAATAATACCTTTAGCTTTTGTATAGCTTCAATATGTTTTTTTTTTT